TGCTGGTCTGGCCGAATGAAGGGGAGAGGAAGAGAGAGTGAGAGTGCTTCTTGGGAGTTACAAAGTGGAAAGACAAATGAAGGGAGAGATGGGGTTTTTAATTGTAGAGAAATGATTATGAAATAATGGTGATGGTAATGAATGGGTTAAGGGTGGCGCATGGAAGTAATTGGGGGTTACAAACTTTATTCTACTCCGTTATGTAAAATCTGACCTGAACGGTACGCGCTTTTTCCCCCGAACGGGTCCGAATTGAAATCCGTTTGCGTTTCTAAAATCAAGCAGTCAAGACGAATTTAATGATATGATCAAATAATTTTTCTAAGAACTTTTCATTTTCCCCAACTCCAGTCCAGAACAGTAATTAATTATTTAAAACAATCAATTCTGTTAGACCGGGTTGCAGGGCGTTACAGCTCGTCCCCCGACCTGCCTACGCCCCCATTCACCGCGTTGGGCGCCCCCGGCGGTGCTCTCAAGATCGGAGGCTAGACGGGCTGCTCGATCCGGGAACTCGGCCTTTTCGGATGAACTTCTCTGTGTCGGTCACACTGTTCCTCCCAGTGCATCCTGATTTTCCTTGCTCCGTCCTGCAAGAAGGCATTCTGCCGGCCATGCAACCGTTCTGTGGCCGGCACTCGCATCCGGCTGAACACAGACACGTGCGACTCACTCTCGCCCTGTCCTTCCTTCAGGGGCTCATGGCACTTGCTTGCCGTATCCTTGTCTCGACGGCTAGTTTGCTTCTTGTTGGCCCTACGCTCCGGGGCCGTGCTGTTATCCCGCTGCTGGGAGCGGCTCAATTCCTTGTTCTCGGGTCCCCCTGTCGGAGGGTTCATGCGGGAGTCCGTCATCAGGTTCTTTAGGTGTTGGCCGAAAAGCACTGTGCTTTCCACCACGTTCTGCTGCATTTCACGACGTCCTTCGGGTTGGAACGTCAGCTGCGGCATCGTGACCGACATGTGGAAACCAGTCATGGGTTGATTGAACATCATCGCCATCATCATGGCCTAGAAACCGCTAGGGTCTAGGCCTCGAGTCCTCGTACTGGAGGTCTCCCCAAACTGAAAAAGCGGTGAGTTGAAGTCACCGGGCAACATCACACCTTCTCCACATACGAGCTCGTTGGGAGAAGGTTGAGTCAGAACGCCGGTGCCCTAGGTGGGCACCTGCTGGATAGGTGCTTGAGACCCCCCAGCGTTCGTCGTTCGCCGCCTGGGAATGCAGTGGCGTAGATCAGTGGTATTCTGGCTAACGACGTCATTGAGGCTGACGTCTAGATCATCATGACACGCGCTGATCGGCGCCGTGACAGTCATCTTGAGGCCACCACCGGTGTTGGCGGCAGATGACCGGGTCACTCTTCTTGACGCAACCATTTTCTTGGAGCACGCTTGATGTGTTCGACACTCTCAACGAGAGCACCAATGTTGGGTTAAGGAAACTAGGAGACTAGGCGGGAGAGTATCAAACTAAGTTGAGAGTGCACAAATATGGGGTCAAGTAAACTGAGAGTATTATTGTGCTAGTTGGAACGTAAATCAAAACGTAAGTCCCCCTTCCTTTGGAAAGGAAGGGGTTTATATGCAAGGTTACAACATAGGGTTCCGACCGTTGGTCCAGAGTCCAACGGCCTGGGCTCACTAAGATTGGGTTGTTCACTAGCGGCGTCGAACCATATCATTATCCCTAGGATTGTTATACAAAGTAGGTTACAAGT